TGACTTGTCGGAATCCCTTCTGAATCAATCCCATTTCATGAATGCCATATTGAACCGTGGCCAGAACACATTGCTTGTATAACTTGAATCTGGTTCGAATGGGGTGGACATCACTCACAAGCCAGGACCTGAGATTGCGGAAGCACCATTTGGCGGCTGTGATCCTACGAGCTGTCGTGTCTGCATCCCATGCTCGATAACCTATGATGACTCCAAGGTACGCTGTTTTCGACACAAGCGGGAGCTGCCATCTTCGTTCGGGCAGCATCAGGACAGGGCCAGTGGTTGGTCTACTAACCCAGTGACGAAGAAAGGCAGGGGCCTCTTTCCCTTGGAGTCGAAGCATGGCAACTGACTTGTGAAGATTGACATTGAACCCAAAGACTTGAAGAGTCATCAATACATGCTGAAGGTCAGTGAGAGCTTCAAGGGCGTGGGCTGTTGATCGAATTATCCACCGGAGGTGGATGTCATCTGCATAGACGACCATGTGCTCATGAAGCCATTGATGGGAGTATTTGTTTTGGAGATCAACAAGTACAAGGCTCATGGTGAGGGTCCATAGTAAGGGGGGCATCTTTGGCCCCCTGTTTGATTCCCCGATGTGCATGGATTTGTCCGATCAGCTGCTTGAAGGGAATACAATACGTATGGGGGGTGAGCCACGAATGCACAAGTTGAAAAAGGTCAGGATCCAAATGGTACAACGTCAAGGCTCGAAGCACCAGGGTGCGGCTGACCGTGTCAAAAGCCTTTTCCATATCTAATGAGATTTGGAGTCCTCCAAGCAGCTTAGGCTGAGTTCCAGTCTTGACATCCCTGCACATCATGCATACACTTCTACAATGTTCGGCAACGATGAGAAGACATACACGTGTCCCTCTGTGAGGCAAGTACGCATAGAATGGAAGACGTCTGAGTCTGTCGAACGTCTGCAGAATGATCTGTTTGCATTGGATTCCGGCAAGAATCTTGTTGACCGGGTGTTGAAGACAGATTGGTCTGAGAGCCTGGGGTTTGCTTGGGGATTTATTCGGTTTAGTGAGGAGGTGGATCCATCCTGTTGTCCAATGATCCGGAAGGTTTACGGGATATCGAAGCCAAACCTGCTGTATCTGATGCATTAAAGGATCAACTAGATCATGCGCAAAATGCTTCCAGATCAGTGCTGGCAGTCCGTTCGGTGCCAGGGCTTTGGTGCTTGGCAGGTGCAAAAGTTCAATAAGCACATCCTGGCGGTCGAAGGAAAGGCGGGTGAGGGGTTTGAGGTCCCGGACTTCAAACTGCGGATCAACAAACAGTTGTATATAGTATTGTTCGATGGACTCCAACTCCTGTCTCGGTGCAAGAGGCATGCCATGAGTATCAAAGATTTGAATTCTTTTCGGTCTTTGTTTCGGACACAGGAGCCTGATCTTCCGGTACCAGTCAAAAATGCGTCCATGAAGGGCAAGATCAGCACCCTCAGTGAGAATCTGGTGCAGTTTGTCTCGCTTATTCTGCCTGCTCTGTTTACGAATGGCTTTGTGGATGGTTCGGAAGGTGGTGATATGAGCCCAACACTCAAAGAGATCACGAATGCAGCGTCCTCGAACGGCCAGAGCCTGCTTGCGGGCATTCCACATCCTGGCGGCCATGGAGGGAATCTGGGGTGCATGAGGGACCCTCGGTTTTCTTTTGGGAAAGAAAAGAGAACAAATGGTTCGTAATTCTTGTTCCAAATCGAGCATGGATACCTGATGCTGTGGATGAGGTGGAGAGTGTCGAGCGATGCACTGACGAATCTGAACCTCGAACTGCTGCCAGTGTGCAGTGTGCTCTATTCTAGCCGTACGGAGGGCGAATCTATCAATGTTGTTAAGAGGAAGCACTGGTTTCCGAGGCGCAAACCACCTTGGCAGGACAAAGAACAATGGATGATGATGAGGTCCGTGACATCCAAAGTTGCGCATAAAACTCCTATCCATGGTGGGTTGCATACGGCGAAATTGAACCTGATGTTGTCGAACAAAAACATAATCAATGCGAGAATGATGGGAGCCATGTTCAAAGGTCGATGCATACTGCTGTTTACAATGCAACGCAATCAGGTCCTGTGCTTTCAATAATTGCTGAAGAAGATCTCGATCGGTGTGAGTGTTCAAGGATGCACGGGCATCATGGCTATTGATGTGTGGCGGATCGAACTTGAGGGTGGTATTAAAATCACCCATCAGGACCATTTGATGCTGCTGCGGAACATGATTCAAAAGCTGCTACAAGCTGGTCCAAATCTTGGCACGATTATCAAGAAGCTGTTCCTTGCCTTTGGTTACATTCCAGGCATGTTGATATATAACGATGAAGTCATATGTGCAGTCCAAAAAGAGGCGGATCTGAAGAAGTCGGCCATCGAAATGAGAGGCCGAGGCAATCTGTTCAGGTCTGGCCAGGGTACTCCGGATGAGCACCAGTATGGCTGCATGCTTCGTCGATGAATGGATACAATGCCATCCCTGGGACGTCCAGGTGGAGTTGAAATTCCAGCCAATTTCCTGCAAGGCAATGATGTCCAGAGGTTGGGATGTACACCAATGCAAGAGCTCGTCATGGACCAAGTTCTTCGATGCATTCCAGGTCATGCACCGAATGCCAGGTGTTGTTTGCGGTGTCCGTTGCTTCAGCTTGTCTTGTGAATGCCGTCGATAGGTTTCTCGAAGGCGCCAGGGAACATTGGTGCCAAAAAGATAGCCTTTTCGATAAGGCGTGTAGCCATGTTGCAATGCTCGGAAGCAGGCTCTCTAGAAGGTCCTCTTGATCTGAACGATGCGCGGCCGAGAGACGACAAGGCCGGAGCCTCCTCTGGCCCATACCTCAGAAGGCTTCGTGGAGAAGCTCTATTTTCGAGTGAAGGAACCATTTCCACTCTCATCCGGGATTGAGGAGTCCCGGACAACCCTCACGCCACCCATGGTTCCGCTCGGTATCAACGGCGGTGCATTGGCGTCCATGGGCCCTAGACTTGGGACCAGGGATATTAGCCTCTGTCCTAACAGAAGGAAATACAACCAGATAAAAACTATCATCAATGAAGTGAAAGCCAAAAATTCCAGAGCACAAGGCAAAAGAAAATGGCGAGAAAATCTACAAGGAAATAGCTACCGTAACTCGAAGCTAAAATAGCGCTTATATTATTATTCATTAATATTATTTTTTTTCTTATATCTATAATTCAATTAATCTATAATATATAATAATATCTCCTCTATCATTAAATATATTTTTAACATAAATCAATGTACTAAAATATTTTAAATATATCTTACATTTAACAAAACATATTTAATTAATTTATATCTATTATTATAAAAACAATATAAATTAAATATTCTTAATTATTTAATATCTATCATATCACGAAAGGTAGCCCTTTAGGGGATACCTTGAGTTTGACTTGCGAAGCAAGTGTCGGCGAGTCCGGGTCTAATAATTGATCATTCAACTCAACCCCCCCCCCTCTATTGATTTTTCAAAACAACCCCCCCCCCCTGGGATTGATTTTTCAATACAGACCCCCCCCTCCCCCCCTCTCTAAATTCAATTCTCCGCTGGAGAACGTCTTCGTGAGCCTCTTATGATTTCAGGATAGTTGAAACCCTCTTGAACATTTAGAAAGAGTGCATATGAAATTCTAATTACGAAATGTGTTCTCGTTAAAATACCATTCTCATCTGGAGACCGTCGTCGTAAGCGTCTCAGTGTTCCCCGAATGGGTCGCAAGGTGTTCTCCGAGGGGAATGCACATCTAGAGTTTATTTTATTCTCTCCTAGGGCCCTTTAATCACGAAAGGTAGTCCTTTAGGGGATACCTTGAAATTGTTTTGCGAAGCAAGTGTTGGGACGTCCGGGTCTAATAATTAATCGCTCAATTCAGACCCCCCCCCCCCCCCCCCCTCCCGATTTTTTTAAATACCCCCCCCCCCCCCCGCTCCCTTGGAATTGATTTTTCAATACAGACCCCCCCCCTCTAAAATCAATTCTCTCCTGGAGATCGTCTTCGTGAGCCTCTCATGATTTCAGGATAGTTGAAACCCTCTTGAAGGATAGTTAAAATCCTCTTGAACATTCAGAAAGAGTGAATATGAAATTCTAATTACGAAAGGTATTCTATGAAGCGCGTCAATTCTCTCCTAGGGAGCGTCTTCGTGAGCCTCTTATGGTTTCAAGATAGTTCAAATCCTATGATGTTCCGATTCAATACTCACCGATAATGTTCCGATTCAATACTCACCGATAATCTAAGCCATGGGGCAAATTTGTTTTCCTAAGAATCTTTTTGAACATTTCGAGAGCACATGTTTAAACATTTAAAATGCATATAAATATATATATACGCAAGGTCGCCTCCGAGGGGATAAATCACCATATCGAATATTGCATTTTTGTTCCTGCCTCTCGCGTTCTCTTCTCTTCCCGCTGTCCTACCTTTCGTGTCTCCCTCCTCTCAAGTTTTTTAATTTCCCCTATAATATAAATCAAAATACAATACAAATTAAATTATCATTAAATATAACTAAAAAATTATACATATAATTTACGAATTATATTTTAAATATATATAGATATTTATATACATCAATAAATTTATATAAAATCCATAAAATCCTTTATATAACGATATTACGAATTCCAAATCGAAATAAATATCAAAATATTACTAGATTATAACAAAAAAAAATATTTCTAAAATAATATAGGAAAATAATCCAATCCATCGATTTAAATGACGCGAAAACGATATATTTTGTATTATATACAAAATATATACCGTAAGGAATATAAACCAATAGCAAACAAATCGGATTTTTTAAGTGGAGACGTAACATCGAAAACAAAACCAAACCAAGCTACCCATTTGCTTCAAGCCTAAAACACCGAAGCAATCGACGTATGAGCGGACCAGAAAAACAAAGCGAAAATCACTATGAATCTATTGAGTTATATGTTTAATAGATTAACTATTTGGCAGTCACATAAATACCATTCACGCTGACATTTGCCAGGTTCGACTAAGAGTGAAACGGACACGCAAAATGCTGCAATTGAAGAATCATTGCAGAAATGTAAAGAAGCTGCATCAAGTGGCTGAGCCCAAGCTGACAACTCCTGCTGCTCCTGCTGCTCTTGCTCACTTCATCTTGCGCTTTGCTCTGATCCAGTCGAAATTATTCCGCCGGTGAACCTAAGGCGCCACAATGAGCAGCAACAACCTGTGAAGAATCTGAAGGACGTCCATCAACCCATTAGTTCGTCTGGAGCCAAGGGCCCCCAGTTGTGCAAATCGCTTGAACTTAAACATGATTCTGGTGTGTTTCTTGCGACACTTTGCCCACATTTGCTATATCCGACCGCCTTGCCGGTCCGTGTAATCTTGTTGTTGAAAGCTTTGTGTAACCTTTTTGCCTTAGACCTTTCATTCTTGTTTCTTTTGTTTCCATTTTGCTCTAGACCTTTTCGCGATTTTCTTTCTTGTCTTTAGACATCGATTTTTGTTTCTTTGTAGTCCTTTACGTTTCTTTATGTCGTTTTTTCTTCAGATATGTCCTTTCTTTCTTTTCTGTTCTATACTAGAACTGCCCCCCCGATTTTCGCTTTGTTCCGTAGACCAACTTGCTGTGCCTTCTGCCTGACAAAGTTTGCAGTGACACGCCTCAGGTAGACAAATTGCTGTACGCGGTTTGCTTTTTCATCCTCCTTGTGCTCTTCTTGCTCTTCCTCTTCCGCTTCCTCCTCTTCCTCCGCTTCTTCTTCCTATCTTTTCACTTTCAAGTCACACCTGCCTGTGCCCCACTAGCCTTCGCACCACGCTCTCAAAACCACAAAACACTCTATTTTATGGTGTGCTTATCTTATTGCTTTTGATATGGCACATGCTTGCCTTTACATCAAGTTTTCACACTAACCAACAGGCTTTTGCATGCACAACCGTTCGCACCAACTGCCGATCGCTGCCTACAATCACAACTCACACGGGATGCCATCCAACTGGCCGTGCGCTGCTACCAAGAAACTGTTGGCTCCTGGATCAAGTGACTACTGTAGAAAAGGCCTCAACAAGTCTGGAAGCGGCAGGGGTGCGCTTGACAATTCAAGAACCCAAGGCTCGTGACCAACAAGCTTTGACATGAATCACAAGAAACTACTAGTAATCAGCAGAAGGGACTATAGAACAAAAATCATCCAACATCACTGCAGAATTCCCTGCTATCCTACAAACAGGACTACAACAAATGAGCAATCCACGACCTGACTCCTTACACTTGATTCAACATTTCTTTCCTCATTTAATCTCATTTGACACGTTTTGAAACCATTGCAATCCGGATGACCTTCTCGATCGGTGCGATCCCAAAGTCCACTTCGTGCGATCCAAGCTTCCATAGCTGTCGTTGCTGGTCGTAAAATTCTCGTTGAAATGCCAAGGGGTCGGATCCCGCAGCAATGCCCGACGCTCGTTGTAGGGATGCATCGACGGCACACTGATGGTCCTGGCGAGGACTGAGGGAGCCATGTCGAACCGTTTAGCAGTATCCAGTTTTGGAGCCACTTCAAAACGGATAAATGGCTTCTGCAAGTATATGCACATATGGATTCAACATGTATTCGATTGATTAGAATCGTGTGGTCAGATATATGTTAACTATATAGCCATGTATTCGACATAGATTTCTGAATAGGTCTTCAATTTACATGGCCTGGCAAGCGCATGTGGATGATCGGGTCGAGGATCACACAGGTGTTTCGATCCCACCTTCCAAGCACCAAGGAATGTGACAAACGGACGTGGGTCATGACACCCGAAGCCCGGTTGACCATGTCTGGCTCTTCGGTGGATTTTCCGTGGTCAACCAGGCACCCTAGGCGGCTAGGCCTGCTAGCACATCTCAGCACCCTGTAGCTGCCCATCCTGCCATCCTGTCCCTCACTGTCCGTTTGTAGCCCATCTTGCTCGTTTTTTCAACATGTTTCAACCCATTTGGATTGCAAGCCTTGGTGTAGTGAGATTGCGAATCCATGAAGAGCCCATCCGGGTTGTGCGAGACGACGCAGGAGCGGCTGGAGGGAGGGTCATGCAGTACATGCATGGTGCGCTCGAAGCGTGTGTTGGGCACGCATTGCCAATTGGCTGTGGCACTCAGGCTCAAGGGATTCGTGCCTCGGAGGGCGAGGGTTCCGCGGCAGAAGGGTCGGGTCCAGCTCAGAGCCGGTCATGGAGGAATCATCCACTTGGAGGATCACTCGGAGTCTGGAGTTACACAGGGGTTGGACCCCAAAAATGGTGACCGAAAGGTTCACATCATCATCTGTGTAAACCATCGCATCTTCTGAGCACCTTCTTTTCATCTTTTGAGAATGAGAAGAAATCAAGGCTTGTCGGCACGTCGTTCGAGCTGACCAGCTGAGGCACCTCGGCTTCTTGGCACATGGACCTTCTCGCATTCTTGGCCCATGGGATAGTACCTCAGGTCACAAGGCACCAGGATCATGGCCCCGGGGCACCATGGTTCACCGAGAATGAACAGAGAAGACTCTCACCAGGGAGGTCAGACGAGGGTAGACGGAGTTCCAGGTTTTCACGAGTCACTTCGATATCACAAGTATAAAGAACCCCCAATGATCCTAAGATATGCAAGGCTCAGCGATACAGTTTCTTGGTGGCTCAGGAAACAATACACAAGCCCAAAGAATAGTTCATGTGGCTGCATCTTGTGCAGGAAACAGTGCTGTTTACCGCTGGAAAAAAGTCCAGGAGACCATCAGGAGAAAACAGCATCCAAGGCCACAAGCGGACCCTTCTGACTCTGACATTCTAGCGACCTACTAGCGATGGCCTCCAACCTACTAGCGATGGCCTCCAACCCAATAGCGATGTCCTCCAATCTACTACTGTAGCGATGGCTTCCAACCTAATAGCGATGGCCTTGAACCTACTAGAAGGAGCTCATTTGCTGGAACTAGGGATGTTGTGGAAAGTTCCCCTTTCCTCTGTTTGAACATGCTTTTTTCCCTTCCCTGATGATAAGATCTTGTTCAGACTTCAAACATGGTTCACCAGGTCAAAAGTCTTGGTGTCTTTGTCATGGTTCACCAATCTTGGTCGACCTTGCAACGATCTTCTGCTTCTCAAGAAAAGGCATGAAAAGGCTCAACATGATTCCATATGATTCCGCTCTTGGATAAAACGCCCTTGTATAAAGTCAATGACGATCATTTTGAAAACGACTCATCTGATTCCACTTCGTGCTCATTCTGTGTCCAGACAGTGCGTGGACTGGTCCAGTTTCCCTCTCATCCCGAGCGCTCGGATCGCCATGGTGCGGCTTCCCCCATTGGGAGCCAGGGCCAAAGTGCGATGGCAAGGTGGTTGGATTCCTCGGACATCGGCGACGACGAAAAACGACGAGACGCTTGGATATCCGGTACGAGGGCCGGGGGGACGTCCTTCAGTTGGGACGTCCTGAGAAAACACTTTTGGACACAACATGACATGATGGATCCAATTTTGTGTGCTTCGTTACCGTCGTTGGTCCAATTTGATCATCTCAAAGGGTGAATGGACTTGGGGTTGACAGGGGTCAACAACGGGTCAACACGCTCTTACCCGAGCAGCTCTTGGTGTCACGAATTTGAGGTTCAAAACGGTCTTTGACCCGAGCAGCTCGAGAACCTTTCCACAACATGGGGGTGGAAGGATTCCACCGAGACGAGATGGCAACCTGAATCTTTACCGACCGCTCCAACCTAATAGCCATGACCTCCACCTCGTAGCTTCTTGTTACTGGTAGTAATGGCTGCTACTCAACTTCTTCGGCCAAGACTCTTGATTGGAATTTCTTTGAAGTTCATGGCGCCAAGTTCCGGGTCGTGAAATCAGCTCTTTAGGCGAAATGCACTTTACTCGTTCAATGGGCTTGTAAACATCTGAGACCATATTTAGGAGGCCTCACAGTCACTGATTGAAGCATTTCCTGCTCTTTGCTTTGTCTAAAGTCGACATGTTGCAAGGGATTGCAAGGGCAGGTGTGCGTCCAACCGATCAACTTCAAAACCCCCACATTCGATCATATTCGACTATCCACCAAGAGAGTACTTCGTGTGTGGCAAGCTCTCAGGCCGCACGCCCAACACAACTCTTTCAAGCCGCCCTGGTCCCTTCGGGGGATCAAACCTGTCCAACTCACTGTATAAACAACTGATACACAAAAACACAAGTAAAGGATACTAAAGGCATGGGCTTCTGTAGTTTTTGCTCAGCAATGCAAAGTACCACTGAGCAGGTTGGATAACTCACATATATAATGCGACATAGGCTTGCTCATTCTTTTCTTTGCCACTTGGGTAGACGTCTTGGAACAAACGAATTTTGCCGACAGTGAAACTCATACCTCACAAAGCTCTTTCATTCATGAGGGGCTCTTTCTACAAGTCTAACAACTTAAAACGTGTCAAAACAGTTTTGGTCTGGCTCTTTGAAGGACAAAAGATTTGATTTGATCATTTGATCTTCAACTAACTCACTTGATGATTTGTTTGATGTTCGACATATTTTCGCAAATGCGCCTTTGCATGGAACCCATGGACACTTCTGTTGGCCCAGAGCTCACACTTCGACGTCAGGCATGTCAAAGGCTTCCGTCGCCACCGCCCTCAAATAAAGGAAGGAAGGAGCACAATTGGACATTGTAATCTGTTCTTTTTGGAAAAAAAACAGCTTTGAAACACTTCTCTCAACTTGTCTCAGTCCTCTCCAACGCTGCCACTCTCAACATGCTGAGGGGCTGCCGACTGTGGTGCAACATGCTGAGGCTCCGCGCATCTTCTTTGCGACCCACCATGCCTGCCACTACGTGGTGAAACCTGAGTCCAAACGAATTTCCAGGCCATGTCTGATGAACATAGCGCAACCTCGGCTATGAGGTATCGGCTGGTGGATCTGATCCAGCATGCTTGTCAGCCGCAAATAGCTTCTGAGGAACCGGCTGAAGTGTAAACATAATTCTTGCTGCTGCAACCCATTCCGGGACCTTCAGTTTGTTTTCGGAATGTCCAGAAAAGAAAGAAATCAGGTCCTCACACCGTAGCTCAGGATCAGGTCCTCACACGTCTCATCCGCACGTCCTCACATCCTAGCAGGTCTTAGGTTCTCGTTCGGTGGTGTTTCCTCTTGAGCTGCTCACGGAGCCAAAAGCCGCTGAGGAGAACCAGCCCAACTGGCGAGCCAGCGGACGGGCTGACGGGTAGTGTTGAAAGTGGTTGGAAGTGGTGGAAGGGTTGGATGGGACAGCAAGGTTTGTAGGGGTTACAGTACTTCATAGTGCTTCATAGGGATTACAGTACACCTAGGGGTTACAGGTTGCTTGTACAGTACTTCGAACAGAACCACTTGGACAGGTTCGAAGTCGAGAGTCCAGAATGGACAGTCAGGATTGATGACCATGTGAAGGATTGACGGAACTGCAGGGTGTGTGTTTGTGTGTCTGTTCTATGGAAGTACGCCTGGAGGGGCCTGAGCCTGAGCTCCTGAAAGCATTGGAAGATGTTCAGTGGCGATTTGCTTGAAGCACCACTTGGTCAAAAACCCAGCAGTCTATTTTGAAGAGGGATTTGAAGAGGATGGTTGTTCAATATTAAAGCTACTCGATCTACTCCTTTGAGGTGAAGGGGTTCCCTTGGCATCCAAGAGTTACATCAACAAAACGAGGCAAAGCTTGGGAGGAGCTGGCGTGCCCTACATTGAAGTCCAGTTTTCGCATCAAGCAGAGTTAATGGCGATCTCGTTGTGCTCAACTCCCAGAAATCTTCAATGATTCAAGCTCAAAGCTGAGAAGGGGGGCCACAGAGACTTCCAAGGTAGTTCGAATCCAAAGGAAGATTGGATTCCTCACCACCTCAGCAGCAGTGCAAATCAAAAGGTGATTGGATCTCTTCCCTACCGCTGAAAGCTTCACCCGGAATGGTTCTGTGTGTCTTCCAAACAAGTTCTGTCTCTGTGAACACCTTCTGCGCCTTAGAATGATGTGAACTTATGTATATACGTTTATATAAGTGTTAAAGGAAGCAATTGACGAATTCGTCAGAAAAGGATGGACGCAGTCAGCAAACAAACCACAGGTACACGAGGAATGAAACAACCTGAAACACGGACACAGTAAATGATGGGAAACCATGCAAACAGAACACACAGGTACAGTAACAAACACAACAAAGGAGGACAACAATACGCAAAATAACGGGTTGCAGTCCATGCCCACCTTCAATGAATTTTGTAGAAAGAACCAACTGGCTCTAGAACCAGCTTCAACCAACCCTGTCTAAAGTCACTTCAAGCCAATGAGGGTGTCACGCCAGGCGCGAGTACCAGTTTCTACGTCTTCGAACGAAACGGGTTTTCGAAAAAGGCTGTTTCACGCTGCGTCATTGGTTTTTTGGCTCCCACGTAGTGGAAGGGCTCTAGAGGGGCGCGACGACATGTCCGCAAGTCGAGCGTGGGCTACCTATTGAATCCGTTGCAAATTAGAGAAGCTGTGACTCAAGTGGCAAAGTGGAAACTGGATGCCAGCATTGGGTGATGAATGGCCAGTATTTACTGCATCAATGGTGCTGCGCATTTGCGCACCCATTGTCTGTATCAAGGAAGTCTTAAAGTAGACCTGGCATTTTTCCTTGGGACCTCCTCGAACAAGTTGGACATGCCATTAAAAACCCTCTCTGGAGGGAGGAACTTGGAGCAGGACGTGCTCTGCTAAACTAAAAATGCAGGTTCTGCCCAAGCAATGAGATAGCAATATCAGCATCACAACTAGAGGGACAAATCCAGAAACTATGTAGAAATAAATAACACATGGAGTGAGCTGGATGGATGGATGGATGAGATGGATGGATGAGAGAGAGGGGGTGAGTGCGCGCAAAAAGAGAGAGAGAGAGAGGCACAAGAGTGCTCAGAGAGAAATGCACCCACCAATGGATAAAAGCCTGTTTAGCTGGACGACTCCATGAAACACTGAAACGCAACGTGGGTAGCAAAATTCATCCAAATTCCTGAAAGTGGGGTAGGTGATACAAGCCTTGTACAGCTCGACGTGTCTCAAACCGACCCATGCGTGCGTGACACATCACCATTGTGTCCGATCGATTTGTATTGTGTCCCAACGAAGTCCTGCGGTACAAAAAACAGCGATGCGAGGTGTCCAGGCAATAAAACAACAACAAATGCAAGCTATCAAGCTTGTGCCAACTGCTGGCAGAAATTCTCCCAAAAGTTCACCTATGAAGATGTTTCATCTTCATCCTCTTCTGCCATTGGAAATAACATTAAATAAATGAGATTCACAAACCAAGTTGGGTGGCTCCTTAGAGCATCAGTTGAAGGCGCCGTCTAGATACGACCGCTAAAGACTGCGACGTCTGACCGACGCGTGGCGAAGGAACCGCCGTCCGAAGGCTCCAACAGGCGTCGGCCGAAGAACCGGAAGAAATCCAACCGCATCCGATGGGGGTCTTGAGGATGAGCCCCCCGTTTCAGGCGATGTTTCCCGATTTACAATTTGGCACATGTGACAAGTTCTAATAGCGTTCTTGTTACTACTAGTAAGGCACTTGCTCCTAGTAGCGATGCACTTGTTTCTGGGCCTCCGGACCCAATCGCCATACCAATCCCCTTCCACTCGATCTGCCACTAAATGGAAATAGAATGCACCCCAGCCTCAGTCGCACACGACACGTCCTTGAGGTCCTGACATTGTTTTCACCGGAATGATTTTTGATATCGTTTTCTTCACGTTGCAGGAAGTGCAGCTTCCACACCATGTATGAGCTCCCGACTGCCTGCAATCACCAGGCCAAGCCCAAAACCTGAGATCAAGTGATCGAAGAGGTTGATTAATTCTGAAGTCACTTGTATAACCCTACCATTTTTGTAATTACTTTCAATGGGTTCAATTCTTTGGCCACCTGCCAAAACTCTCACAACATCTCACAACAAGCCCCTCTCAGAGAACTGCTATGATTTGCCCATAAAACCATGCAGTTTGAAGAAAGGCAGCCATGGGCCACGTTCAGCAAGCTTTCCACCGATCGACTCAAAGGGCTCAACCTGAACTCAATTGCGGCTCAATCTGAGGAAGTTGCAAGCATTCGCCCTTTCCTGGAAGTACACCATCCAGCTGTTCAAAATGATTCGCTCCTGCCCAGCTGTACAAATCATCCATCTCATTTCCCTCCTTCCCAGAGGCCCCTGAGAACTCAAAAAGCCAAAGGCTTCTTCATTCGATTTCCACGCCTACTTAGTACATACAAGGAAGATGCAAATGCAAAACAAACAAGTCTGCAATGGTTCTGCAATCTCCAGGCTCTTGCTCTCCGCCCAAATGCCGTAACTCTTGTGCCCCCCACTTTCTCTCTCCTCTCCGATGCCCACTTCCGTGGCTGCGGCCATCGGTACGCAGCACTCGCTACAGGTCTTTTGTAGGTCCTTCCAGCTGTGAAAAAAAGAACCGCCCAGCGCGGCCCAAACAGTGCGATCCGCGGTTTTACTCGTTGAACAGTGGCACCAGAGGTGGCCTTTCAATCAAAACGCACCACACGCGATGGCCTTCAAATGCTTTCGTTTCCATAACCTAATGTTGTCAAGCATTGCGAGTTCACTGCAGAAGGATCTTGGATTAAGAGGGACTGATCTTGCGCATTGGGCAAAGTACCAGTCATATTTGCTTAATCCCAATATGTTGCTACAAGTGTCACTTTTGATTTTGCCTAAGAGTGCACTGCCCTTAAGGTGCACGCGTCATGCCACCAGAGGTAGTCTCAAAGTGGCTATGCTCAGTGGCATGGTGGGCAGAGAAACACAGATTTAAATCAATCTTGAACCGCCTCTATTAGATCACACACG